GGTGTGCTGAGTTTGGGCTTGTTTTGTTAGTTATGATGAGTCCTTACCTCCGGACTTGCTGAAGTGACCTGAAGGTGTACTTCGGTAACTAATACTGTAACACCTGGACTAGTAGAACTAGGTATACCGAGTTTGGGTTTGTTTTGTTAGTTATGATGAAACCGTCACAAAACAAAAGTTCTTTTCACTTTGTCTCTAGTACCAATAGGTATCCAAGCTGATATTCGGAAAAATGAATAACCTCGTAGTAACATCTTTATGGGCAGTATCGATATCCACTTTCCAGCCACACTGTTTTTCACTGTAACCAACTGTCCTTTATGTGAGCCTCACTTGCCCTCACGCAGTACCCACTTTACTGCACTCCAGTGCGCCCACCACCACTTCTGCCACCTACAACTTCACATCTACCACCGCACCCCTCTCTAAGCCTTCGTTCTCCACCTCCGCTACCACCGCTTCCACCATAAGCTCTGCTCCCACCGCCTCAACAATAAATTCCTCTACCTCCGCCGAAACCACCCCGCTCTCCCCGTTTCCACTATCTCCGACTTCACCACAAATTCCTCTTCTCCACCTTCACCACAAACTAGGCTGCATTCACCTCCCCTTCCACCACGTCTCCATTCTCCGCCTCCGTTTTCTGCGAACACACACACACATACACACACAGACACTCAGACGATCACACACGCACGCACACACACCCGCACGCACGCTCACGCACGCGCATACACACACGCGCACCCTCGCGCACTCACATAAACACACGCACACACACGCACACCTAAACACACACACACACACACACACATACACACACACACATACACACACACATATACACACACACACACTCACGCGCACACACACACAGACACTCAGACGATCACACACGCACGCACGTACACCCGCACGCACGTTAACGCACGCGCATAAACACACGCGCACTCACATAAACACACGCACACACACGCACACACGCACACACATACAAACACACGCGCGCGCACGAACGAACACACGTACACGCACAAGCAGACGCAAGCACACACACACACACAAGCGCGTGCGCGCGAACACACACATACACCCACTGGCACACACAAAACGCGCACACACACTCGCACGCATGCATCGGCACACACTCGTCCCCACACACAAAAGCAAACACACGCACAACTACACACACGCACGAACAACAGTTAACACACGCACACGCACACACACACACACACACACACACATACACACACGCACGAACAACAGTTAACACACGCACACACACTCACGCACGCGCGCGCGCTTACACATACTAACACCGACATACACCCACAAGCATGCACACGCAAGCACACACACACACGCGGCGCGCGGGCGCGCGCGCTCAAATACAAGCAGACAACCGCACAAACACACGCACACTGCTGCACACACACGTACTCAAAAAAACACAACAGTGCACACACGCACACATACACTCACACACGCACACGCACATGCGTTTACACGAAACACACACGCGCGCGCACTAAATGGCACCCCACACCCTTACACACACACACACACACACACACACACACACACACACACTCGAGTGACAAATTAATTTATAATAAACTACCATCCATCATCTTCTAATTGATCTATGACAAATGAATAAAATAACACAAATTCACTCACACGATAACAAAAACTCGAACAAACGTCTTTCCACAATAAAACCTGCCAAAGTTTGATCCACAAAATCAGCAGATAACGTATTTTCTTACCTTATTACTATAACGAAGTAGCCTACGGGTTCTCTGTCACACACAGAACGCGACGTTGCCGCTTCGTGTTCGAGTACCTATTCGTCAATTATGGCTCCGGATCCACTTAGTCTAAGTAAATGTCGCATATAAATTAAATGTACTCTGGATCTAAAAAATCATATTCAGTATGATTTTTTCGACCGTATATAGTTCAACAAATGTTGGTCAAATCGCTGACGAGTATATTGAAATCCTGTTAGTGCAGATCCACCGACGTCCCACACGCATCAAGAATGGATCAAAGTATATCAGTTTGTGCGACGAGGAGCTGAGCAAACACGTCAAATAGGTGGATCAACAATTGTTCTAACTTCTCACTGGATCAACATTTACCGTGAAAGGATGATTATATATATATATATATATATATATATATATATATATATATATATATATATATATATATATATATATAAAGAGGGAACCTGTTATTAGCATTAAGCATTATTTAAGAATTTCTATTTATTTTTATAATGTGCTGCTGGTTCTACGATCAAATAAATGAACCCTTACCGTATCTGCACGTCCCCTGACAGCCACGTGGTCTTCAAATTTAATTTAACTGTATTAAAAAGATTAAATGACCATGTTTTCTATATCGCCATTATTTTACATCTGCTTATCCGGCGACCAATCTAAATTAATTGAAGTAATTTGAAAGGTCTTCATCGCTAATAAAAGCCACGCGTGTGGGTAATTATTCTTTTGTAAATTGTTCCAAATATAATATTCGGTCAGATAATTTCAATTTAGTTAATAACGGTTGAAAATTGCTTTGGGTAATTTATTTATAGAACAAAAGACAAAAACAAAAGCAGTGATAGTACCAATGAAATTTAATTAATAACGTAGCGTAGTTTCATATTTGACATTAATAAAATTTTCATTGTGTGTGTGTGTCGAAAACAAATCAGGAGATATTCCAAATAATAACTAAAAGCGACTTCGATACACACTTCGATAACTTCGATAGCCAACGCACAAACCGTGGCAACTATGGCGAATAATATTCCCCTTACGAGGATAGATTGCGTAGGGGGGAGGCCTATGCTCAGCAGTGGATTTTATAGACTGTAACGGTAACATAAAATTATTTTAAGCCTCTCTCTCTATTTAGCCATTTAAAAAAAAACAATTTTTATGTGCTCAAATTTCTTAATTTTTTTAGGGTTTCCCAAATAATCCTTACGTCATTTATAGTGTTTTTGCTTTCGAATCTTTAGAGGCCTACTTAAAGCTACCCGTAGATAACAAGTGATATCCGGCTTACAAATAACTGTCACGTCATTAATTTGCAATTAATACATTTAGTACTGATTCGTAAACGATTTATTTACTAGGTAGTAGAATATTACAAATAGCAGTGTTATTTTTACCCGACTGCTCCAGAAGGAGAGTACCTAATGTTTTTCGAGAGTATATATGTACGTATGTATATTTCTTTGGTGAGCCGTTCTCAGGTGGCTTGCTCGTGGCGCGACGGAGTTCCACTATTTTTTTAAAGTGATATCTTCTTCAAATTTACAGCATTAATAGAATATTTAATAAACCTTACAGAAAATACAATTACTTAGTTGTTTATGGCGTAATGAATCATGTAAATAAGATTTTAACAGGACAAACGTAAATTTTTTTCCCTTAGCGTTACGAACTTCACTTGTGATTAAAAAAACAATCAATGGCATAATAATTTTTTTTAATTATTACAAAGAACATCGTTTGGCTTTTATTTAAAAATAAAACCATAAAAATCAGTGCACAAAAACTAAGATAATTTCAGTAAAATATATCCTAAGCGTCACTTCTTGTTCATTTCACGTGTTTTTATTTCAGTATTTACGAATCTTTACACAGTGATAAAGAATCTTCGTATGAATAAATAAGTAAAATTTTACTGTTTTAGATGTGAATAATTTAATATGTTTGTATCATTGTTCTTCTTTAATGATTAAAGTATTTATCCTTCTTTAAAAATGGGACAGTGAGGCTATTGGAACTTGAAGTGACGCTATAGAAAAGTAAAGCTAGGCATACATTTCAGATTAATTGAAAAACATTTTAAACACTTAATCTTAGTTAGCTCGTAACAAATATTGTGCTGACACAATAGCAAATCTCATAAAACAAATAATTTGGTGCTAAGCACCGAACACACGTTCTTTGGTAGATATTGACAATGTAAGGAACTATTTATTTTTATTCACTAAAGTCTTTATTCAAAAGTTTGTTTCAATATTTCCTACTTAAATTATTCTTATTATACTTTTTACATTCACAATGCAATTTTTATTATTGAAAATGAATTATTTGAAAAAGTCGACCCGTCTACTATATGCTTAAATAATAGGGCAGAAAATATTAATTACGGAGTGGACTACAAAGAGATTACTTAAAATTTCATATTTATTTAAGAGCTATAATATTCTTTTCAATTTCTGCGCCAGTGTGCAGACTGCGCACTTGCATGACATACTGAAAAATGTTGACTGAATTTCAACGTGTTTGTTTGCACCGATGCGCGACGTTGCCAGTGCCAACTGGCCGAAACGTCGATGCAAACTAAGATAAAACGCAGACTGCGCCCTCTTATAAGCCAAATAAATGGTAAATAGTTAATTTTGAGCCAAATAATCATTATCTAATTATATATAATGGTTCTCCAAAAGAGTACCTACCCGAGAATCACTTGTGTCGCTATTATGATTCGAACCTTAAAAATTTATTTACGCCTCAGCGCGCCTATGAGGGAAATGAAATGTGATGAGTATTTACCAAATCAGTTGCTGCACAACCTTCAACAAATCACACTAAAATACAGTTATACATAATCAGAAGTGCACAAAAAATGCACAAATCGTATCAATCGTCATGCCACGAAACTAATGTTTGGTAGCGAAACGTTAAACTAATTAGTTTTACATTAAATAAATATACTTATTGCGAGTAATAATTTTCTCTTTACCCTTAAAACAATTACTTATTTGCCCAGACAAGTTGTACAAACGTAATCAAAAAATGTTGTTCCACTGCAGCTTAAACAGACCCAATTGTTACACACCATGCATTTTACCATTTCTCCTAAATTGAAATCTTTACGATTTTCAAAGGTAAAACAAAGAAATGACCTTAACGACATTTTTCGTAAATTGTTTTCTTTGTTTGAAAGTGTTTGTACTAGTCCAGCTTTTATCGGAAGTCTATGGCTGATGATAAATGCTCATTGTATCTGTTGATTGGTTTAAGTATTTTCACTTTTTTCTTTGACATCACATTATCTACAGATGATACTTTTTCAGCAATCGGGAATTGTTTGTCTATTGGTATGTCTAGTATTTCTTGGTTCTGCAATAAACCTGTCATTAAAGAAATTTCTGAGTAGTCAAGGAGATCATCACTTAATGTAGGGGGATTATTGAATTCTGAAAATTCAATCGCATGGTTGAAATCGTCGTGATTACGATACTCGTTACAAAACTGTGGCCCTTCACAATTGATTGACACAGAATCCTGCTGAAAATCGTCCACCAGGCTATTTAAATTAAATGAGCGCAGCAAATCAGGTTCGTTGAAATCGTCACCAACATCACTCACCATAGGAATTTCGCTCGAAAGACCAGTTTCTGTCACTACAGGTACAGCAGAATTAACTGAAATACTCTCTCGAATAAAATCGTGTGATTTAGGAGTATAGCAATTACAAAAACCACGTGTTTCTCCACAAAAACAACTTAGTTCCCTGTTTTGGGCATCTGGTTTTTTTGATTAGTGGTAATTTGGTGCAACTGCATTGTTCCAGGTACCGCTACTAAATTATCTGAAACAAGTATTTTGAAATTCTCAATGTCTTGTTCAGGTATAAAAAACATTTTACTAATGTACCGCTCTTTTGTAAAATGTTGTACGCATCATTAGCATTCGTTATATCTTCTCCATATGAGACTCTTTTGTCTAATGTTCTCTTTATTGAGCCACCTATACCATCGGCTCTGCTTTTTCCATGACCCGCTTCTGAAAAGGACTGTCTTCTGAAAATGACTGACTTCTGTCGAGGACACATGTAACTTAGCCGTAAACAAAGTTAGCAAATAAAAGTTTTTTTTTTGCCTATACTGACTACTAGGCCCATCTGAAAAAAAAAACGTGTATTTTGTTGAACTGTGTTACCATATTTTTGGAATGTCTTAAAACTGGCATTAGACGTGCCCAAATTGCATGCGGTTCGTGGCAACTGTCATCAGACACCGTAGCAAATGACTGTGAACTGTCTTTTGAAAATATCATGCCAGTGTGTAACATAATTGAATTTTTTCTCCAAAATGAGTGCATTGAATTTCTTGTACATATTTGCCCTCGTAATTTTCAGAGAAATCACATATAATAACGATCTCATCGTCTTTCAAGTTATTTATTCAACTTCTGTACTGTCTTTGCTGTTCTTTCCAATTATAGTAATGGGTTTTAAAAGGTAGCATTTCTCTTTCTAATTTTGTTAGTAGCTCATGGATACTTCCTTTCATCTGCTGCTTAACTGTATTTTTTGTGGTTAACTGTTTTCCAGCTTTCTGATAAGTGTGGCTGATTCTGGTTTTTTTTTATAGAATAGGCTGACAAACGAGCACACAGTCCACCTGATGGTAAGTGGTTGCTGCGGCCCATAGACATCTACATCTATCTTCCATTACAAATCAAAATGCAGATGCGTTGTCACCCGTGAGGACTGAGATGGAATGCCTCATTTTCAGTAAAAAGGGTCTCCGGTTCTCTACACTCACCATACGAAATACAGCAGCATTAAGCTACTATTTCACGCTGGTATTCTGTGAGAGCCTTCACACTTCCTTCCCCGGTCGAGCCGACCCATTCGTGCTACAACTATACTACTAATATAACTGCAGCATGGCTCTACCACGTAGAATTCCGTCCATCTGCTCCATCTGGTCCATCTGCTCCATGCTATTATGCTCTTCTGATTTGATGTTGTCGCAATGTTGAATAGATATATTTTTGCACTGCTCGCTTTTATTATACATACATGCATAAGATTTGTTGTCACATGTAGAAGCGGCTAAGAGCTCTTCAAGGTTCTTGTGTGTTACGACACCTTTGTGTTTAAGAGCTATGAACATGAACTCTATGTTGCTATGTTTAATACAAAGGCATGTTTCCCTTCTTTGTGCAGTTGGAGATAGTACATAATATGGTCTGTATCTACAAAATGTCGAGAAGTTAATTTTGCCTCCTTCGTTTTTATAAACTCGATATAGATTTTGCAAAGTATCTACTAAGTAACGGATTTGTGTCTTCTTTTTTCCTTTTGTACTTGTTTCTCGTTTTCCTGCGGTCTAAAAAAACAATCTAAATCTTCTAGAATTTTTTTTTCTGACACTTCTAATATTCTTCTGTCTTATTATAATGGGATATTTAAGGCCGAGAATTTCTGCTTCAGATTTCCTGCTCAATTTATTTGGCTGTGTTTGGATAGCTACTTTAATTTTCTGTTTTTCTTCTAGCCGATTAATATTTTTATATAAATTTTTAACTGTCTGTTCCATAAATTTCTATCTCTCAGAGAGTACACTAGATAAATACATAAGCAATTTTTTTCATAAGTGTATAAATTGAAAAACAAAATATTTATAATATTTAATACCGTTTAATATATAACATAAGATTAAAAAAGTTTTTCTTTATTGCGAAAAACGGCCACTTAAGTTTTTAATAAAAATTATTTGAATTCATCGATGTAAAAGCTATTTAGATAGAATTCATTTCTTTATATGTTTAACTGATGAACAGTTCATCAAAAGTTATTATTGTGATTAAAACAGCAAAATGATAATTTAATAATTAAATATCGAAAATTCACATGGAGGTGCCACTGGACGGAATCAGCCTTCTTAAGCTAAAAAAAGGATCTTACTGAATGTTTTAAATCATTTTTAGTTACCAAGGACTATGATTAATTGAATAACTTGATCGAATACCAATTAAGAAAAAACTTAATAATAGTATCATTACCTGCAAAATATAAAAAAAAAACTAATATTTTCATCATATAATATAAATATTAATTCAAAGCGATGAAATTAAAAATATATTTTTTGAGGTTGGCGCCAGCTTTGACATTTATAAGGTATTAATTTTTCTTTATAAGTGCTGAAATTAACCTCAAAAACATCACTGTTAAAATTTTATATTCAATCTTTTAGCTTTTTTAATTCGTATTACAGTCTGTAAAGGGGGATGCCCACTGTTCATAGACACTTCGGCCATGGGTGCCCACATATAAAAGCATATGGAAATGATAATATGCAATTAAAATAATGAAATGGTTAAGGAATTGGTTTAAAAAAAGTCGGGATTTTTATGATATAAAGCTTTTTATTTTCACAAATACAGTTTTTTAACGACTACTTTTACCAATTTTATTGCTTTTAATTTCTTTAACTTTTAATTCCCGACGCGTGATTTTTCTTTTGGAGGCCTATGCCAAAAGGCACACCGAACAGAGGGACTTACTTTAACTAGTATTACAATAGGAACTCAAACACAAATATTATGTAACCCCAAAGTTCGGAAATAAATGGCTATATTATTATTATACTATTATTATTAATTCCTGACGTTTCAGGTGCTTTATAGCACCCATGGTCACGGGGTACTGAGGTGACTGCCATCCCAATGTCAGTATTGGGACATGGAGTACCTTCAGCTTTTTATTATTATTTTTATAGTCCAATCTACGCAGATTGAACTTACTCTATCTTTAAGTCTTGCAGTGGTATGCTTGGGGTTTGCTTTAATTTTATTAATTATAGTGTCCCAAGCAGGTGGCAGTACCCAACCGCCTTCTCTACTGAAATTAGGATGTTTTTTAATTTCAGTAGCCTCACATATCATCCTTGGTAGGAATTAATGTTCTTTAACGAGGATTTGTGGTCTATCAAATCTGATGTATGTCTATCTGGTTGGGGTGACACCCTTGACATACGGTAGTATAGCAGGCACACGCTCAACTGCGGTCGGCTTCACTCGGTCACTGTGACGAAGACGTGGGACCCGAAGCTTGATTTTGTGCAGAACCTGCTTGACGCTCTCTGTAACAAAGATTTGCTCATGGTAACTAACTGTGAAGGATTATGGTGAGATTCACCGCTTAAATATCAGTTTGTATGGGTCTTTTTTCTATACACAGTGTGACCTATGATGTTGTTAGGATTTTGGATAACAAAAACATCTAGGAAAGCTAAGAAATTATTTGCCTCAGATATAATATCATAATTACTGAATAGAATTTGGCACAGAGAGTGGTAACGATGGATAAAATTCATAGGAACAACATCCTGATTTAATATTTCTTGGGCCATATTCATGAGCCGCTCTAATTTGTTTCTTGGTACTTGCAATAATGCCTATATGCATTCATCACTATCTCCTGTTCTTACTTTTATCAAATATACAGCAAGTGCAAAGCATCCACTATGTTTACTTGACATTTTAGGCACTTCAGACAGAATTTATTGGCATTGTGCCTTTGATAAGCGTAGATAATAATGTACTGTATATTCGGGCATATTGTAAATATTTTCAAAGTCTATATGATGGTAAATATTATCTTACAATAATGTAGAAAAATCTATAATTTGTGCTACACTAAATGTTTTAATATGGTTATATATTAATTCTAAAAGTAAATACCAAGAGTTACTATTTAAATGGTAGTTACTGATTCTACATTCTGGAGGTACATAGTAATTGTATTCACAAAAATACATACCCGCAATGCTGATGGAACAGTGAGTTGATTGGAATTGTTACAACCAGGAAAAAACATTGATTTTGTGTGAGTGGTGCTCTTACAAAATTAGGCAGCAGTATATTGTATGATGTATGATCTAAGCTTTGTTGTTCTAGGTTCAATACATTACTCACTTTAGATTGCTACAAGGATGGACTAGATGATTCAGATGGTTCCCGTTCTAAAGTTTAACGTGTTGCTGCTTTATCAATCCTTCGCAATCATGACACTCACGCGATGACGATGGCAACTGAAATAATATTAAATAAAAAAAATAAGACAAAGTGAACAAAATAAAATAGATTTGTTTACTTTAAACTCAAATATAGGTAAATGTTACTTAAAACTTAATGCCCTATATTATTTAATAATTAAGGACTGACTGCCTACCAGTAGTCCAAAAACAATTAAAAATCGACTGTCTTATTTCTTGGTATTTGATAAAAATTGTCCATTTCGTAACTATCTGGTGTTAGCTAGCTAATCTTATCGCCGTGTTACAAATAAGCTATTTTGTTTGTCAGGTATAGCTTGTGCATATGTTAAAAAATAAAACAACTTCATCATTTCATACATTCATCACTATCAAATATCAGCACTAGAATTAATAAATTAAAAACTGTTGAACACTTACTTTTAACTGTTATCACACTATAATGTGATCGACAATCTCACTCCATATAAGTTCTTGAGAATTTATTTGAAAAATAACAAACAAAATAACACAATGGCAACTATTTAGTTGTGAATTCACTAGTACCTTTTAACTTGTTGAATTGATTGTGATTTCATTTCG